GGCCATGGAGACATTTAAAAGCAAACAAAATAATTTAAAAATGAATCCTAAAAGAAATGGGCAGCCAGTGAAGAGAAGCTAAAACAGGGGAAATGTGTTCAAACTTTGGTGTGCCAGTTAAAAGACGGGCTGCGGCATTTTGCACCCTCTGTAGATGACTAATAGAAGATGCACTGATCCCAATATAGAGTGCGTTACTTCTAAATGAAAAAGAGCTCTAAACTCATGATCCACAACATTTTATTTTTCTATATTTGCCTTTAAGGAACCCTGACCCTTTACCAGCAGATCTGACCAAACATAAATAGTCAGTTCTCCTGACAGTTTCCAGCACCAGAACCCTCACACCGTGTTTCTGTGGTCTCCATCTGTTTGCAGGGATCGGCTTCTCTGCACCTGTCAGCTTCAACAGCTGAACAAACATCTGGCCTTCAGCCGCCAGCAGCTCTCCAGAGCTATCCTTCTCTAATTAGAATCGAGTTATCCTGCTGGACCCTGAACGCCTCGTAGAGGACTGACAGAACACTTCCTGCAGCTTCTCGGGTTTCTGCTTCCAAACAACAGCTGTGACACAGGAGAGCAAACTCTTCATTGATGCAACAGAAAGGATAACTGACACAACATCAGGCTGGCGAAAACTAAACCAAACGCTGTTGCTTTGGACTATTCAGGAAATCTTGCACTTGAACACATCCCTAAGAAAAATTCTAGGAGACAAGTTCCTTCTCTGTCTGACTTTCAGATTCTGGACGCCCTCAGCTGTCAGAGCAAAGTCAATCTTCTCCACATCAGACAAATGAGAGGAGGCTGAGGCTGCGGGTCTGGATCAGAAGTGATGTGTTGTTGCATTTTCCTTTCCCTGGCGGGCTGCGGAGCCCGAGCCGTGCCGCATGACCACACTGATAACACTCACACACAAAGAGCTGCTGGAGCTCTGCAGAAGCTTCAGAACTTTTTTCCCCCCCCCCACAAACAAAAACCCATCGGAGTCATTGTGGTGATAAGATGGCTTTCAACCCCCCTTCACTCTGCTTCACTTAGTGCTGACCTACATTTCCCAGAATGCTTTTCACTGGTCTCCAGAAAACTCAGACAGGTTATAAATGAGGTTTTAATGTGGCTCTAGAGCTCTGAGGTGGGTGCAGAACATGGTCACTGTCTGCACCGGTTCCATTCAGCTTCTACAGAAACGTTTTAAATGGTCGCTCGTGGAATATCTATCCATCCATTTTCATCCGCTTATCTGGAGTCGGGTCACGGGGGCAGTAGCCTAAGGCGAGAGGCCCAGACTTCCCTCTCCCCAGCCACTTGGGCCTCCTCCAGGGAAATCCCAAGGTGTTCCCTGGCCAGGTGAGAGACATGGTCCCTCCACCGTGTCCTGGGTCTACCTTTAGGTCTCCTCCCAGTTGGTCGTGCCTGGAAAACCTCACCAGGGAGGCGTCCAGGAGGCATTCTGACCAGATGCCCGAGCCACCTCAACTGGCTCCTCTCGATGTGGAGGAGCAGCGGGTCTACTCCGAGCCCCTCCTGAATGACCGATCGTCTCACCCTATCTCTAAGGGAGAGCCCAGCCACTCTTCGGAGAAAACTCATTTTGGCCGCTTGTATCCGCGATCTCGTTCTTTTGGTCACTTCCCAAAGCTCATGACCATAGGTGAGGGTAGGAACGTAGATCAACCGGTAAATCGAGAGCTTTGCCTTCTGACTCAGCTCTCTCTTCACCACGACAGACCGGTACGACGCCCGCATCACTGCAGATGCAGCACCAATCCGCCTATCGATCTCACGCTCTATCTTACCCTCACTCGTGAACAAGACCCCGAGATACTTAAACTCCTCCATTTGGGGCAGAACGAGGGAGTCACCAGAAGGAGCGCTCTCCAGCACATCCTCCAAGGTCTCCAAAAATGGTGGGTAGTCTGAACTGTAGTTTGGTGCATAAGCACAGATCACAGTCATAACCCATCCCCCCCACACTTAGGCAGAGGGAGGCTACCCTCTCATTCACCGGGGTAAACCCCAACATACAGGCACCAAGATGGGTATATCTAGTATGCCCACCCCTGCTTGGCGCCTCTCAGTGGGAGCAACTCCAGAGTGGTAGAAAGTCCAACCCCTCTCAAGGAAACCAGTTCTAGAGCCAGAGCCATGCGTTGAGGTGAGTCCGACTATATCTAGTCGAAACCTCTCAACCTCACACACCAATTCAGGCTCCTTCCCCACCAGAGAGGTGACATTCTATGTGCCAAGAGCCAGCTTCTGTAGCCGAGGATCAGACCGCCAAGGTCCCCGCTCTCAACTACCACCCGTCACACCCTGCACCCGATCCCTTTGGCCCTTCCCATGAGCGGTGAGCCCATGGGAAGGGGGACCCACGTTTCCTCTTCAGGCTGTGCCAGCCGGGCTCCATGGGTGAAAGCCCGGCCACCAGGCGCTCGCCAACGTGCCCCACCTCCAGGCCTGGCTCCAGAGGGGGGCCCCGTGACCCACGTCAGGGCGAGGGAACACGGTTTCCATTTATATAATTCATCATAAGAGGAATAGTTTGGGGAATAGTTCCTACAAAATAAAACTAATTTGGGTGTGTGTGCACCGATGATGCTGCAAGAATTTTGCATTTTCCTGTTCCTCCACCAAACCTGTGATGCTCTCTCTTTACCAGGGTTCTACATCTCATCTGGCACGGCGTTTGTTTTTGTGTAAATATTTAGAAATAATTCTCTGAGAGCCATTTCTACAAATGCATCAACTTTCTAAACATTTTCAACAAACGAACAGACACAAGCAGACATGCTTCTGCAAAAAGACCACACAACTGTCCAATAGAAAACTAAAATAAGACCCAGGATAGTAAATTACTTCAATAATAGGAAAGCACATGATTAATTAAAGTAATTCCTTGAAGGTGTGTACTAAAATCAGCCCTGATGTAACAAACAGTTAAGAGTCTGAATATTGTGAATTTAACCAAAAGCTCATCTTGACACACTGAGGAACCCTGAAAGGCAACGAACTGCAGAGCTTCAACTCAAATAGAGCAACTCATTCAAAGCTTCCAGATTTCATCTGGAGGATGTCCAAGCTGGGATGGAACAAAACACTGAGCTGCAATAGTACTTTTACTGGGTTGGGAGGTTGCAAGTTCAATCCTGGCTCCGCAGAGAATGCCGCTGTTGTGTCCTTGGGCAAGACACTCAACCAGCCTTACCTGCTGGTGGTGGTCAGAGGGACCGGTGGCACCTGTGCTCGGCAGCCTCGCCTCTGTCAGTGTACCCCGGGGCAGCTGCGGCTACATCGTAGCTCACCACCATCAGTGTGTGAATGTGTGTGTGACTGGATGAATGATGCACTGTAGTGTAAAGCACTTTGGAGTCCTCTGACTCTGAAAGGTGCTATACAAGTGCAGGTCATTTATCATTTATCATTACTTCAGTGCAGCTCTGGTGTTTTTGTCTTTTGATAAATAATAAAAATTCTGTGTTTCCTTTTAAACATGAAAATGTGCAGAATTAATGAGTGTGTGTGTGTGTGTGTGTGTGTGTGTGTGTGTGTGTGTGTGTGAATGGATGAAAGATTCTTGTGTAAAACATTTGTTGGGTTCAACAAATCAATACTGAAGTCACCACATATGTATGTTGGTTTTCTGTTCACTGTAGAAAAAACATTCTCCATCCTTTCTTGAAAGACGTCCATATTCGAACCGGGTGGCCTGTATGCACAACTTACAATAATGTTTTATTTCTTTTCATTAAGAATTTCCACCATCAAACATTCCATTATGTCATCCAAGGCTATAACGACATGTGCTTTTTCACCGTAAACTGTACCGTTTTATGATGTATAGCGCAACCCCACCTCCTGTTTTATTTTTCCTGTTTACATATTCAAGATTATAATCATCTATATGGAAATGAACTCTCTTATTCTTATTGAACCACGTTTCAGAGATGGCAATTACACTAAAAGGGTGAAAATAATGTTGCAGGTATTCATTTACAGAATTAAAATTTGTATACATGCTTCTGCTATTAAAGTGTATGATTGAGAATTTTGTCTTCAAACAAATGAACCGTATGACCAAAATATTTGGAGTACAGTCATGAATTATAGCTCAAAATGAAGGTATATTCGTTAGCTGTAAGCCAGCACGCGTCTCATTTCAATCGGACCTACGGTTCTCTCGGGACAACGCCAGAAATGGAGCAAGGGAGGATCACCACCTTTCCCCATTATAACTTTTGTGAATTTTTCTGAAAATTTCAAGTCGTGCCTCACCTTCTACCTGCGATTTTACAAATATCGTAAAAGATATAAAAAAATACTCTTTAATATGTTAAACAGGAAAATCTTGTGAGTTTGATAAACTTTGAATGAAGTCTATGAGTTAAAAGGAACCCAATAGAGTTTTAGGTTAAGAAAAAGTGATAGAAATTTGCTGAAAATTGACCAATCCCGTTCATTTCAATGGGAAAATGTTCACAGAAAAAGCTTAATAACTCGAAATTTTTTTAAGATATCAATGCCAAAAGTAATGACCTGGAAAGAGTTTAACGAGCTGAACGTTTTGAAATAAAATTGTTGAAATAGTTAAAATTTTGAAAGAGTTGAAAAGGTTCAAAAAGTGTACGGAAGCAGAAGAAGAAGAAGAAGAAGAAGAAGAAGAAGAAGAAGAAGAAGAAAGAGAAACAGGAAAACCATAGTTTCAAGCAACAAGACTGAGGCTAAAGGACAACCCAGACCTGACTTAAACAAAAACGTGTTTGTTCTTGCACTGGTGATCATTTTGGGGTTAAACTGGGATCCAACTGGTATATTCCAGACGCCTTCAAGGACGCCTGGGATATTTCACACTTCATCACAGCTCGGATTAGACTGATAAACTGATGGATCAATCCCGATGCGGCCATCCGGGTCAGACGCACTGAACCATCACCCTCCATCACACAGAACCCGCTCTGATCTGAGACCCGGATGACACCTGCAGCAGGTGTTTAACTCACCATCATCCCCGACAGGCCGACACGTCCCATTCTGGGCCCAGAGCCGCTACCGAACCCAAAACACCGACTGTTTTCGTCGCCTTCATCTCGATCTGGATGGAGATCGGTCCGTTTCCAGTGGGTTGCAGGCGGTGGGCCCTCCCCCCTCCCACTCACCCGCCAGGGGAGAGCAGAACCCGACCTGGGATTAACAATGACCGGGTTACATGTAGTCGGTTAAAACCAGCTGCAGAACCACCTGGGCTGTGGTTCGGATGGATGGAGGAGCTAGACCCGGTGGGTCGGGAGGAGGAGGAGCTGCAGCAGGAGGAGGAGGAGGCCTCCGCTGTAAAGGACGACGAGTTCAGACTAGTGACAACAAGCTGCAGCTTTTATCAAAAAGATAATGAAAGAAGGTCTGCAGCGCCCCCTGCAGGAGCAGGTTTTAAATGGCCTGAGATCAAATCTGCCATCTAGTTTATCATCACACTGAGATTATGTTCACGTCACTGCATTCAAAGCTTAATAAGCTTTAGTGTCCGGCCAGAGAGCGCAGGGAGACGGAGACAGCAGGCTACAGCCGCCCGAGAGCTCACGGTGAACTCTGGTCTGACTTGACGTTAGAGCAGGTGGCTCCCCCTAGCGGTCATCTTCTGAAACTACATCTATAAACTACATCTATGGAGATGCTGCCGTTAGATTCAGCATACAAATATGTTTAATCATTATTAGAGTGGAGAAATCCTGCCATCAAGTAGAGGCATGGTTGGAACCACACAAACAAATACATAATCGATGACTACTCTTATATTTTAGGAACATATTAAGCCGAAGCTTTGTGCAAACCCCCCATTTTTTAACCATTGAAATATGTTCAGACATTTAAATACCAAGTTGGTTCTGTTTAGTCACAAAAGTGTTTTCACCGCGTTTACTGGAGTCTGAGATACATTAGATTTGCAGATGGATATTTAAATAACTATTTTAATAGGTCCTTCATCTACAGAAAATTTCCAGTCTAACTGTTGGGAAATTTTGAGTATTTTAGTTTTTCTCATGAAAATAACAGGTTTCTGCTTTCTTGTTAGACAGCAGGAGATGCTGTCTGAGTACTGACCTGATGACGTGACAGGCCCTTCACTGCCTTTAACCCAATGAAACAGAGTATTGCTTGCAGAAAAGATTGCTCATTTTAGGTCATCATTAAGATCTTTTTTATTTTTGCTCAGCAATTTGGGCACTAGTCTATTTTAGGACATGTTTATTATAATAATTAAATCCCAAATATCAGTGATAATGAGCTGCTGTTAATGAAACCGGGACAGTGATAACAAAAAGTGTATTTTTGGTTCCTGTTTTTCTCTTCTGACAACAAAGACACAATGAAAGGTAATCAAAATGACTAACAAACACCCACAATGGGAGTTTTGTGACATGTTTAGCATTATTACACCAAGCAGCGTTCACATGATCTGATTGATGGTGAGGTGGGATTGTTCTGCGCACTTGTAACCTGGATCAAGAACAATTCCACTGGTGTGGATCGGTGAGGGAGCCATGTTCAAATACTTAACAATTATAGACCTAGCTAATACTATTGTGAAACTATTTGAGAAATTGACCTTTACCCAGTTATCTGATTATCTGGGTATAATTTACTTTCCCATTGCCAATCAGGTTTTAGAAAACATTTCTCCACTACATCTGCTCTTCTTAAATTCACTAATGACATTTACATGGGCTTTGACAATAATCTAATGGGTAATGAAGTTTTCCTTCACTTAAAGCTTCTTTCCGGAGCATGTTCTCTATCCCCTTTTACGTGACTAATTCCCCACAGTTGACCATTATTTACTTCTGGACACACTGTATGCCATTGGCCTTTCAAGGTTGTCATTATCATGGGTTCAATTAGTTTCTTCACCATCGATCGCAGTATGTCTCATTTAATATCCATGAAACTAATATGTGTGGGGTTGTCAGAGGAGTTCCTCAGAGCTCGCCTCTCGGGCCTTTGCTATTTTCTATTTTATTAATGATTTGTCTTTACGCTGCACCTCCTGTTCTGTTCATGCGCATGTCGATGATGCCGTTTTATATTCCACAAGGCCAAATGATTTAGAATTGCACAAGATCCTGCAATCAAATTTTAATAATGTGCAGCATTGGCAGACTCAAAATAAACTCATCTGTAATAAATCTAAAACTTATTCAATGCTGTTTAGAAGATATTCCTCTACATTTGGGGAAAGTGGGGATCTGCAACTGCATTTCTTGGACCGCTCCGAAGTGCATTCCACTGAGAAATTTAAATACTTGGGAGTTTGGATTGAGCTGGATTTATCATTCAAAAATCATGTCCAGGCAGTTTCTCATAAAATTACTAGTTTACGAACGCTGTCCCGTTCCATTAAATGTTTTGACCTTGCAGTACGGAAACGTATTGCAACTCAGCTTCTGCTTCCTATTGTTGATTGTGCAGATATAATCTATCAGAACTCTACCTCCACATGTCTTCAGTTGCTGGATGTTATCTACAACAGTGTTTGTCATTTTGTTTTACGTTGTCTGTTCAGAAACCATCGCTGTAAAATGTACGAACACCTTTCATGGTACTCACTGACAGCTAGACATCAACTTATTTTTAAATGCACTCACTCAGATTTTCCTTCTTATTTGCAAGCCTTGTTAGTTTCTGTAATCCCTGAGCATCAAAGTCGATCTAATGATCATCTGTCATTTGTTATTCCCCGGTTTAGTAAAGAAGTGGGGAGACATGACTCTTGTGTTAAAGCTCCCTCTGACTGGAATACGTTACCTTCAATCTTGAGGTCCATTTCTTCAATTCGTCTATTTAGAAATTGTCTTAATGAGCATATATTGCCTATTTGTGATTGTTTTGCTGTCACCGCCTAATTTGGACACGTCAGCATGTGTATACTGGGTCTGTGTATATTATTATGCATTCTAAAGATGCTATTATTTTTGGTGAGCCATAGCTTAGCAGGACATTTTTTAACTTTATTTTTTGCGTGTTTTGTTTGATTTAGTGATTGTGTTGTGATTACGTAAATGGCTTTCCTGTCTTATCTGCTTTTTTGTTGTATGATCTGAGGACCCGCTCGAAAATGAGATAACACATTTCAAGCGGTTTCTGTCCTCGTAAAATATAAGTTCGATAAATAATAAAAATAAATAAATAAATGTTCTAAGTTCATTTTTAGTTCTAAATCACACCACAGATGATAAAATCAGTAAATCTGTTTTTAGATTTAGAACATTTATCCTTTAAATTGGTCAAACTTCGATAAAAAGTTTTAAACTACAGTTTAAACAATTATTGACCTGATTGTTATGAAATTCGTGTTATTATGATTTTTGCTCTAAAACACATTTAAACAGATCTGAGATCAGTCTGAAGTGACTTTGCTCAGCCCCTTTTATAACCAGAAAAAAAAAATAACGGACTGAACACAAACTGATCTGACCGTTTAAATTTTGACCACTTTGACCAAATTTAAGCTATTTTTTAAAAATTAAATTTAAGCTAAAATTTCCAACTATTGCCTGGAATCGGTGCTAACCACGCCACGAACATGGGATTAGCCATCCAGTTACTGTTAAACTTGCACTTCCCCATGACGCAAGCTCCAGCTTAACCAGCTAATGTGCTCATCTAAAAATAGCCCCCTTTCACAAACAACTGAAGGTGTACAGTATGTACAGTCTATGACGGTTCCGCTTACGCCAATATCGTACACAAAAAATGCTGAACACTAACTGGAAACTCACAAAAATTTTATAGAAATCAAAGAATCTCGTTTGTTGGGTTTTTGGTAGTTTAAGACCTTTGGAAACTGTATTTAAGGATTATTTGTAATTTTTAAGGATTTTTAAGGCCTTAAATTTGGAAAAGCTAATTTAAGACTTTTTAAGACTTTTTAAGGTCCCGCAGATACCCTGAGCATCAGTACCACAGAAAGGCTGAACTGAGATCAGCTGGTTCTGGTCTAACAGTGGCTGGTTTATCCAGCAGGAGAAACAAGACTCAGTCCCATGCATGTCATTTCTATTCTCTCTGTTTCTATTATGCTAATTATTTGTGGTGCAACAGAAAATAACATTTAATGCAAGTCAAGAAGCATTTTTATTACAGTTATCTAGTCAGAAGCTGTAAAAGATTAGATCGATGCTTGAATAAACATCTGGAGGTGAAAAGTACACCCTGGATCCAAAATAACTAAAATGATTATAAACAAAGTTCCTCACAGAAAGACTGAAGTTATTTACTCATCGCTCTTCAAAATCACGGCAGCAGGAACATAAATAACATTTTAAATTTATGTAGTAAAAATCTTAAAAACAAATTTGATAAAAAAAGTCTAATAAATGCTATTTCTTTCTTCAAATTTCCATTTGAACTTATAATTAAAACCTGCTTGTTGCCAGTTTTAATACAATTTCATATTTTTAAGCAAAATCTCTTTCAAAAAGGTCAACTTCTTTTTCTGTAACTTTAATAACATATATATTTCTATAAAAATATTCTAAACTAAATTATATAAAGAGGAACTTTAAAAAATATATATATATTAGTTATAAAACAACAAATTTTACAATGTAAATTATTTTACTAAATGAGCTTTTTAAAAATCTTTTATTCATTAAAATACTTTAAAAGTTTTAAATCTAAAAGATCTTCGTTAAAATATGTAATTTTATTCACAGTGTCTGTTTTTCCAGCTGTTTTATCAGATCTGGAGCTAGATGGGTTAAATTAAATATTTTAGTTTGAACAGATGGATCCGAGTTATTAAATCTATCAGTGAGCAGAGTCAGCGTGAAGTTTATAAGGACTGAATTAGTCTGCAGAGCCACGCAGCTCAGAGGTCTTCTCCTGGAAACTGGAACAGGAAGTAGAAGCTTCTGACCTCCAGCCTAAAATGATAAAAAAGAATTTCAATTCCTCAGATGTTTCATTTAATTTTAGTTGTAGAAAAACCTTTAAGCTAAGATCCAAAACATCAGTGATGAAGCTTCTCTCATCTTTGTGTTCCTTACTTTTACTTTTCTATCATTCAGAAACTGTCTGCAGTCGCTAAAGTGCTAAATAAAGCAGCACAAATAGATACGATAAAGTCAAAAGGAACAAAATCATGAGAATAACAGAAATTAGCCTTCCTGTTGAGAAAATGTTTTTTAAAGGGTGACCTTTTAACGGTTTCTGGTTTTTGCTTTATTGATTTGGATGAATATTGTTTTGGGCGCCAGTCAGGTCTCCCTCCTGACATGTAGAGCTCCGGGAGTTGATGTCACTTCTCCCGGCATGCAACAGTTCAAATCGAAATGGCGCCATCTTGGCAGGCAGAAGCCCGCAGCTGGGCTATTTGTTATTGTCAGAAAACTCAAACGGGAAGTATGGTAGATTCCTGTTGTGCCCCAGGATGCAGAACAGACGCGGACGACATAAGGAATGAGCCATCTACAGGATTCCCCAAGATCCGGAGCACCGCAAGCATTGGATCATTGTAATAAAACTCACTAGTGACTGGGCTAAAATGAAACTGTGGGATCTCGAGAGTAAAGGTTTTTGTTTATGCAGCGACCGCTTCATATCAGGTACTTAAACCAACGTTTCCTCAACTGTGTATGGTATTTATTTTAAATGCTTTTATTACGATTCTTAGTGGGCTTCCTAAACTTATTTTGGTGTGGCTTTTTCTGTCTTATTACTCATAGCAACAAGTAAACGTCACGTAAAACGTTGCCTCGTGAGTTCTGCGTGCTGCCGTTTACGTGTTTTATGATCACAGCAATTAACCGGCTAAGCTGTATTTAATCAGATCACACATAAAAAGCACTTTGGATTGCTATTATCTGTCTCACCGAGACGGATCTCAGACAGATCCTGAGATGCTCCTGCCTGACATATTTATTTTATTCACGGAAAAAAATCAGACTAGTGATTTCTCTTGGCATTCAGTTTATACATTCAAACAGCACAGCACTCTATTTAAACTCCTTACATGTAAATCTATGTTATTTGTCCATCCATCCATCCATTTTCATCCGCTTATCCGGAGTCGGGTTGCGGGGGCAGTAGCCTAAGTCGAGAGGCCCAGACTTCTTTCTCCACAGCCACCTGGGCCAGCTCCTCCGGGGAATCCTAAGGCGTTCCCTGGCCAGGTCTGGTAAGAAGTCCGCTCCGACAGCTTCTGACGTTTTTAAAAAGTATCCCAGGGGCATGGTAAGGGTCGGAGATGTTTAGTCTATTTAATTTCTGACTATATAAAATGATTTCTTCGGTTTTAAAGTGTAAAGTAAACTCCGACGAAGTAAAATCCAAGCCGATCCCGTTCATTTTGTTTACCTTTGTTGCCTGCCAACATGGCGTCTACTCTCTGAGAGTCACGTGATGTCCGGAGCTCTATAGGATTTTTGGAGAATTCTATTGTTTACAAGTTGGATGATATAAAATAACCCGTTACACAAGGACATACATTCACAGACATATACCCTTATAATAATTACAATTGCATGGCACTGGAGTGAGTTCACTCAATAGTGCAGAGTAAACAATCAGGTTTCGAAGTTTTCCACAGGTCCAGTTTATTGATTTACCTTCATCCGTATAGGGAGGAAGTTGTAGAGGCAGGTGTTCAAGGAACACACACACAAGAAAAAAAAAGTTGACAGGGCGTCTTTTGGTGAAACAAAAGTGATGAGCAGTTTGACACAAACACGGTCTCAGTTTAGTGGATCGGCTGTCTGAAAACTGTTCCGCGATTTTCAGTCTCTCAACTTAGACCATGAGTTGTAGCTTTTGTGTATTCTTTTTAGATATTATTTGTGCAATTGTTGGACAAAATGACTTGCTGTGGTATTAATTGCACTAACAGAGCATCCAAGGAGTCTCCACTTAATTTTTTTTGGTAAGTAAAATTATATTTATGTATTTTAGGTCACTGCCGCTCTTGCACTAGCTGAGCTTAGATTTTAACATGTGCTGTTTAACCATGAAATTTAAATGTAATAGGGTAAAACCCAGTGCATTTAACATAACGCTGCTTTTTTGAAAATGGGTTGAAATATAATATGTTGGTGGAGCTGGGTTCAGACTAACGGTATGGTTTCCCTCCCTTCACCGGCAGCTTGGTGCATCTCTGTCCGCAGCGGAACCTGTCTGCCGCGCGGCTGCCAGCTTGTGGAGCTCTCGGGAGACCTCTGTGTTCCACCCGGTTTTACCCAGCGGTCAGCCCGGTGGATCTCTGACTCAGAAGCTCTGGTGTTGTGCACAGTTAACTCCGGTTGTAGCTAGGTTGCTACCTCCATTTGCTTAGCTCCCACCTCCACGTTAGCTTGTAGCTACATCGCTTCAGTTCGACGGGTGTCATCATTTGATCCTAGCCTTACAGCCCCACCCTCAGCTCCACTTCTTTTCCCTTTTGTGGAATTGTCTGGGCTTGACGGAACCTGTGACACGGTCAAAATGGCGGTGGTTGCCACCTCCCATTTTGGCTTAAAAACTTATTATTGGAGCCTATGGACACAAATTGTTCAGTATATATGTTGATGGTTCACAAGCAAGAAACCACAGAAGAAGAGTTGTTCACATACCTGCTGATCTCAGTGCTGCCCCCTTCAGGCTCTGGGCAGGAAGCGCAGGTTGATTGGTTTGGAAGGGATGAGCAGGGTTCTGGTTTTAGGCTGAATGAGCGGAGCTCCGTGTTCAGGCTCAACTCTGTAGTGCTGAATCAGCTGCAGAGAAACACAATCTGATCACTTGGCAGCAGCAGGAAAAGGAAAACCACCAGGAAGAATCTTAGAGTTGAATTAATTTGCTGTGGAGCAGAAGGAGGGGTGAGGCTGCTGTGTGTGGTGCTGTTCTGGACCCAGTATCTGATTGGGCTGCAGCTGGTGGGACAAAGTGTGACTTTAGAGAGCAGCTGGAGGCTAGATTGTGACTTGGAGACACAGGTCCATCATACATCACAGGTGACCCGGCAGGTTAAGTCGCTTGACTTCTATGGCATTGTGGGGAGTTGGATTCCCTCGGCACAAACAGTGGCAGCTTGTCCACAAGGCTAGGGCGCCGCCCCACCCGTCTCACTGGAAGAACATAGGAATCAGAAAATATTACAAAAAAAACAAACATTATGAAACTAAACGATCACTACATCATGCAGCCTATAAGTGCTGTGTAAGATCTGCATTTAAGTGTAGTTTAAAAATGTTATTTACACTTTTACCACTACTGTGACATATTTCCTGTTACTGTTGGGTGCAGCGGTCTCTACCATAGAATGCGCGCTGGATCTCCCCTCCAATGCAAAGAATAGGAGAGCCTTTACGCGCAGGGGTATAGCGCCCATGAAAGTCCCATAGTCACCAGCACACACTGGTGAAATTCATCTCCACATTTGACCCATCCCCATGGAGGGGAAGAGTGAGCTGCAGCAGAGTTTAAGCCCCAATCCTACCCCTTAAAGCTGAGTATCAAGCAGGGAGGCACAGGGTCCCATTGTTAACGCCTTCGGTATGACCCGGCCAGGAATCGAACCCTGATCTCCCAGTTCCAGGGCGGACACTCTACCATTAGGCCACTGCACTGGTAAGACCTGTGCAGGAGACCTGCAGGGTGGACTCTCAGCTCAGGTCAGGACAAAACTGGAAATTCTCCACAATTCACCAGACTTTATTTGTTTACTTTCACTTTATTTACCTTTGGACAAATACAAACTCTCGTTGATAGAACATAAATCAGAACATAATAGGCCACAACCAACAAAGAAAAAACAAAGCATAACCAAAACAAACATGCATAAATTAAATAATTGTCCATGCCCCTGCTTAATAAGACCACTTCCTTATTTGTGTCTCCCTAAGCTGTCAGCGATGTCAGTAGGTTACGCACTGCAATAAATTAAGGGAAGGCTTTTTGTTTCTCCATGCCCACAAATAAAGTGGTAATGTATGTATGAATGTGGTATTTGCCCACAAGCATCACAACATTACAAAACATTACAAAACATGGAAAGCTCCCTCTGCAAACCCGCTTTTCCATACAAAACCTGCTCTTTGGTGTCTTTCCTTTCAACACTCAACCAGCCCACTAAATGGTGGCGCAGTGGTTAGCACTGTTGCCTCGCAGCATGAAGGTTGCAGGTTTGAAACTCGGCTGTGGTCTTTCTGAGTGGAGTTGCGTGTTCTCCCCATGCATGCGTGGGTTTCCTCCGGGTACTCCGGTTTCCCCCACAGTTCACAACATGCCCTATAGGTTATAAATTGTAAGTTGCTATGGATAAAAGTGTCTGGCAAATAAATAAACATGAACATAAACATAATTTCAGCAAATCAAAGTCGCATTTAAGGAGAAACCTCCCACTTTTGCAAAGATTTTTTAGGAATATGAAACCACTTTGAATCAGGACTTAACAGAAAAGTTTTTATCCAGTTTGTCTTGAACACATCATCCATTGAATGGACTTAATACCACCATATCATAATATTTGACTAATTGTTTTTTTTTATAATATAGTGTGTTTTGTTACACCAAATGAACTAATAAAGGTGACTCTTTTTATATTTTGTAGAGATATAATGATTAAGTTGGGTAAACCATTCTTGAGATACTTTCTGACTTTGATAATAAATTACGACCAAAAACAGTAATATATCATGTAATCCAATGTTTTAGTCAAGTTGTCATTTTTTTTGTTCAGGTTTTTAGATTCTTCAATTTAGATTTATTTGTTAAAAAAAAAGGCCAAATATTTAATTGAACTTTTTACTGGATTTGACCTCATTTCAGTTTCAGGACAGTCATATAGAGAAAGAGTTCACATTTAGCCTTAAGGATGGTTTATGCTTGATGCGTCCGCGAGGTCCGCATGGCTCCACGCGGAAAAGTTGCGTCATTTTGCGTCATTTTAACAACCACACCCCTCCACCGCGTCTCCGCACAGCTCAAAATTGCCGCAACGCGCACCTCGGAAATTTTCTAACCACGCGGACGGTCGGACGCGGAAAAACATGGTGGACCGGCAAGAACTAGTATGGCAGAGGTTCGTAAATACAGACATTTATATGATTCAGCTCTCAGAGATCACCGTGATCAACATGTTGTTAATAATTCTTGGAGAGAAAAAGCTCGCACTGTCGGAAAAGACGAGGACGCTGTTAAAAATGCTGGAATGCCATGTTGTAAACAACAGTAATTGTTACTTCTACTATGGTGTAGTGTTGGATGCATCCTGTAGAGCTCCATGCTGCCCCCTACAGTTTGGGAGAATATTGGCTCACCGCAGAGACGAGCCGCACGAACCATAAACACTGCGAGTTGTGAAGCGCGTTCCATCCGCGAGCCGCATCACCGCGCGGAAAGTGAATGCGTCAAGCATAAACCAAGCTTTAGGCCTGGGTTGAGATCTGCTGGCGACTCCACTCAAGCCTACAATAATGTGAAGAACCAATGCACACCTGTGCTGTCCCTCCCGCCTATTGAGTATCGCTGCTTTACAGGGTTAATGAAAGGCCACCCTATCGCCTTCTGTGGCCAGAATATCGCACTCGCAACCTCACAGTTGCTGGTCGCGGTCTGCTGGGACTTAGGAAAGTTGAACTGAGGTACCTGGCGCTGCAGTCTGCTTCCAGCATGTTTCCTGCATGTTTTAGATCATGAACCCAGCTGATTTGTTTAATTTGGTGATGAATTACTCCTCTAGACACTTAGGAACACTGGGAGACGTTTCGGCTGGTAGATTAAGATGTTAAAAAGACGAATGCACAGCGAGGAGGTAGTTTTGCTTCTACAAACGGACACTAGGGGGTGCTAAAAGCAAGCACAACTGTATAGTATCCCTTTAATGAAAGTCGACTGACACACATCGATTATTTTTGTTAAAACATTTTTTATCCTATTCACATAATTTAGAGCTATTAACTTATAGTCAGTGTCCCCAATTGTCTAACAATTAAAATCTTTGGTTTCGGCAACAGAGTTACCAAACCTGTAATTCATCATCCTTGGTTGATGTAGAGCAGCTGAGGTCACCTCATGAAGTTTTGTTATGATGAAGAACCAGAACATGATGGAATGTGTCAACATTTCGATCATGACCGCAGATCAAGGAAGCGCTATTTCACAGAAGCAGAAATTGAGGAACTTGTGGGTGAGGTGGAGAAATGAAAGGAAGTGCTTTTGCAAAACAAATAAGAGAAAATCCACGGAGTGGCACAGCGTTGCTGAAGCCCTCAATGCTGAGTTCTTCAGAGAGATCTGTGGCGGACATAAAAAAAAAGGTCCAATCGGGATTCAATCACACTCCCGGGTGAAAGTCACGTGCGCTAACCAGTCAGCCAAACAGAGATCTCCCTTGTCCAAGTAACCAGGGTGCATGATCAATTGGGTCACAGTGACAAGACACACACACACCGTCACAGAAGCATGACGTTCTGTCTCAATCTGTCCCCCTGCTGATATTCTGAATTCCATATTCTGCGCTTCAGGCTGTGTGTGTGTGTGTGTGTGTGTGTGTGTGTGGGGGGGGGTCTTGTTCTGTGTGAAAACAAAGCAGTACAAGTGATAATGCTGCAGGATTTCATAATTGTATCTTCTCAGCAGCAGCACTGCAGGTGCTCTCCATGTCCAACATGTGTGTAAGCCAGGTCCTTAGTCAACTTAAAGTTGCGCACATTTTTCCACTACGTTTTCTTTCATACATCCCAAAGTTTGCATGGAAAGTTGCTTACGCAGTTTTCCGACCCCGCTTTGTGCGTAAGCAAGCTTGATAAATGAGGCCCCAGGTACTTAGCATGAGCTCATGTGTTGTACATTCATCAACTTATCAGTAGGATGCATCACTCTTTATCATGGTTTTGATAAATGCTTTGGGCTGCCTTGATTGGCGATGGGAATGTGCTCTATAAATAAAATGAATGAAAACCTTCTCACTAACAAAGAATTGACATTCAAATGTGCAGCTTGATGTGAGATCAGTCAGACTTCACACTAAACTCACCCTGGACAAAGCAAAGTGCATCTCCATCTCAGCCAGCCTCTTCCCCACACAGGCTCGGACTCCCACTCCGAACGGGATGAAGCTGTACGGGTGGTGCTGGTAGAACCCTGGGGTGGCTCTGTCTCCATGGCTACTGGGCGCCTGTGTGTGCAGCCACCGCTCCGGGACAAAGTCTTCTGCCTTTACAAACTCAGCTTCATCGTGACAGGCTGCATAGTGACACAGATGGAACTGAGTCTGGAAACAAAATGAGGAATGAAATTTATGCAAAGACAGAAACCGTGAGGGGTGATCATCAGTAAGCCCGCTTCTAACCTTCCTACCTTCCTACCTTCTTGGGGAACCAGTAGTTGCTGACAATCACCTCATTCTCTGAGATGAAGCGCCCGTTTCCGGGCACCACAGGATACAGGCTGGAAGGATCAGGTGAAAGTGACACATTTAGTTTCAAGTTTCAGTCGTTCCTGATCAGATCAGACATGTAAAAGCTCTCAGAACACATAAGCCATTCATAAAAATAATAATAATGGATTACACTCACTGGCCACTTTATTGGGTACACCTGTCCAACTGCTCGTTAACACAAATGACTAATCAGCCAATCAACTCAATGCATTTAGGCATGTTGACATGGTCAACACGATCCGCTGCAGTTCAAACCGAGCTTCAGAAAGGGAAAGAAAGGTGATTTAACCCTCTGGAGTTGGTGGTACGATTAGCCGTTTTGACAAGTTTTAGTGTTCAACTTTATAATTAGGGCTG